TCCCGCGTATGGACCCCCAAAGTTTTTCCCGCGCAAATTCATAACTCGGGGTTCTGAGATGCTAGAAAAGCTGCCCCCGGGTAAGTGTGGTACCCGCGTACGGGCCCCCCAAAATTTTTCCCGCATAAATTCATAACTCGCGGTTCTGAGAAGCGAGACAGCTGGAATCTTAGAGGGGTATGGTACCCGCGTACTGGCCCCCCAAATTTTCCCGCGCAAATTCATAGTAATGTTCCCCGTCCAAGCAGATGCTAATGGGCTCAAATCCAGCTTCCGGGTAAGCGTGGTACCCGTGTACGGGCCCCCCAAAATTTTTCCCGCGCAAATTCATAACTCGGCCCGGGTAAGCGTGGTACCTGCGTACAGGCCCGTGAAAAGTTCTCTAATGGGCTCAAATCCAGCCCCCGGGTGAGCGTGGTACCCGCGTACGGACCCCCCAAAATTTTTCCTTAATGAGCTGAAATCCAGCCCCCGGGTAAGCGTGGTACCCGCTTGCGAGCCTGCCAAAGTTTTTTTCGGTAATGAGCTCAAATCCACACCCCGGGTAAGCTGGTACCCGCGTATGGGCCCCCCGAAATTTTTCCCGCGCAAATTCATAACTCGGGGTTCTGAGATGCTACACCCAAAATTTTTCCCGCGTAAATTCATAACTCGGGGTTCAGAGATGCTAGAAAGCTGAAATTTTAGGCGAATGTTCCCCGCGTACGAGCCCCCCAAAATTTTTCCCGCGTAAATTCATAACTCGGGGTTAAGATGCTAGTGTGGTACCCGCGTACGGGCCCCCCAAAATTTTTCCCGCATAAATTCATAACTCGCGGTTCTGAGAAGCGAGACAGCTGGAATCTTAGAGGGGTTGGTACCCGCGTATGGGCCCCCCGAAATTTTTCCCGCGCAAATTCATAACTCGGGGTTCTGAGATGCTATGTACCTACGTACAGGCCCGTGAAAGTTCCTTCCGGGTAAGTTACTGACTCGGTAACGTGAGGAGCTAGAAGACTGGAATTTTGAGGG